TATCAGAGCTCCGGGTTGGATTTGGGAGTTTTGTTCGAAGGATTCACTGTTGGATTCTTGGTTGAAGAGTAGATCTACAATATGGTTGAAACAAGCAGGGCTAGTTCAAGTGCTACTAGTACATCGGGGTCGGCTTTGACAAAGGCGATCCAAAATTTAAGCATCAATAACACTAAAATTGATGTCCCAAAGTTCGACGGCAAGATTAACTTCGGTTTATAGAGGTGTCAAGTAATGGACGCCTTAGATGCACAAAATTTAGAGGAGACTCTTGAGTTTCAAGAGAAACCCGAGGAGATTGATGATAGGGTTTGGAAGAAAATGCACAGTAGGCTTGTGGGGTTATTCGGTCATGCTTAACGCCGGATCTTATCTATGATGTGATGAATGAGACGTCGGCAAAGAGATTGTGGGAAACGCTTAATGAAAAATATTTGACGAAGAGCATTGAGAATCGGCTTCACTTGAAGAAATGGTTCTACCAATTCAAGATGAAGAGGGGAGTTTCCATTCGGGAGCATTTTAACAACTTCACAAAGCTAATTTCGGATATGGCCAATGTAGATATCATGGTAGAGGATGAAGATAAGGCGATGTTATTATTATGTTCGTTGCCGGATGATGAATTTAGTACTTTTGTTCTCACTATGATAAATGGGCGAGCTACAGTTAGATACAAGGAGGTGACCTCGACATTGGTGAATTAGAAGCTGAGGAAGAATGATTGTGAGCCCTCCGAGAAGGCATCGAGTGATGCATTAGCAGTTCGTGGCCGTAGTCCAAACCGTCAAAGGTTCAACCGCTCAAAATCAAAGAATAGGGGTGGCCATAAAAGTGTTGGTAGAAATCAATGTGCCTTTTGCAAAGAAGAGGAACATTGGAAGAATGAATGCCCAAAGTTAAAGGATAGAGCCGGGAAGCAAAGGGGGAAAGCTGTACAAGCTTCAGAGGTGAATGTTGCCAAGGTTGTTGGTGACACTTCAGATTCGGATTCTTCCGGTTATTCTTGTCCCACACTGCCGTCTGTTTGTTATGCCGACTCTACGGAGTGGATGCTTGATTCGGGAGCTACATTTCACATTTGCCCTAAAAGGGATTGGTTTACCAACTTTGAGGAGTTGGAGAGAGGAGATGTGGTGCTCATGGGGAACGATCACGTTTGTCCTATTAGTGGGATTGGCTCAGTCAGAATCAGAATGCATGACGGGGTGACTAGGGAATTGAAAGAAGTGAGATTCGTGCCTTAGTTGACGAAGAACATCATTTCTCTTGGGACTTTGGAGGCATCCGGCTATAGAGTAATCTTAGAAGATGCTAGTTTGAAGGTCATGAAGGGGTCCATGGTGGTGATGCGAGGTGTCAGGGAAAACAACATATACTACTTGAAGGGCAAGACAGTTACAGGTGGTCTGGTTGCTTCTATCACCACAGAGGAGGATACTACCACACTATGGCACATGAGGCTTGGACACACAGATGAAAAGTCCCTACAGTCATTGGCAAAACAGGGGCTATTAAAAGGTGCAAAGACCTGCAAGATGGAGCTGTGTGAGCATTGCATTCTTGGGAAGAAGACTAAAGTGAAGTTTGGCACCGCAATTCACAACACCCAAGGTATATTAGACTACATTCACACAGATGTTTGGGGCCCTTCTAAGCACACATCGCTTGGTGGGGCAAATTATTTTGTCACTTTCATTGATGACTATTCCAGGAGGAATTGGGTATATACCATGAAGCATAAACATGAGGTCCTGGATATATTTGTGGAGTGGAAGAAGAAAGTGGAGCTGCAGACATGTAGAAAGGTGAAGACTCTTCGTTCAGACAATGGTGGAGAGTACAAGAGTGATCCATTTTTTGCAGTTTTGCCGGGATCACGGCATTAGAAGACACTTCACAGTTAGAGAGACACCGCAACATAATAGGGTGGCAGAGAGGCTGAACCGTACCTTGCTGGAGAAGGTACGATGTATGATGACGCAGAGTAGATTGGCTAGATCTTTTTGGGCCGAGGCGTTAGTTTATGCGAGCCATCTCGTTAATAGGTTGCTGTGCACTGCGATAGAGGGGAAGACCCCTATGGAGCGTTGGTCTGGTTCTTTGGCTAATGATTATGAGACTCTTCGGATATTTGGGTGTCCAGCTTATTTCCATATTAGTGATGGGAAGTTGAATCCGAGAGCGAGGAAGGCTATCTTTGTGGGATTCAGAGAATGTGTCAAAGGCTTCAAATTATGGGATCCACAAGACAAGAAGATGGTCATTAGCAGAGATGTTACATTTGATGAGGTGTACATGATGAAGCCTCGAGTTCCTCAGCAGGTGGAGGAAGATCAGACAAGAAGGATATCACAGCAGGTGGAGGATGATGTGACTCCACCCACTCCAGTCAGTACTGTGTCCATTGAGACTCCTACAGAGGTGGCACTGGAAGGAGATGAGATGACAGTCGGGCATTTGGAGGATACAGTTGATGGTGAGGCTCAGGAGCAGGGTCATGCTCAGGGGTCCATTACAGCAGATAGACCGAGGAGAGAGATTCGTCGGCCAGCTAGATATGATGATGTCATGGTGGCATATGCTTTATCTGTGGAGGTCGTTGATGATTTTATTCCTGCCACATTCAGGGAGGCTGAGTCCAGATCTCATTCCATTTGGTGGAGGAATGCTATGGAGGAGGAAATGCAATCTCTTCAGAAGAACGACACTTGGGAACTTGCACAACTACCTAAGGGTAAGAAAGCTATTGGTTGTAAGTGGGTGTATGCTAAGAAGGAGGGATCTTCTATTGGGGACATTCGGTTCAAGGCCAGATTGGTTGCCAAGGGATATGCACAGCTTGAGGGCGTTGATTACAACGAGGAGTTTTCACCCGTTGTGAAGCATTCGTCGATTCGGATACTATTGGCATTGGTGGCACAGCTGGACTTAGATTTGGTCCAAATGGACGTGAATACGGCCTTTCTACATGGAGACTTAGATGAGGAGATCTACATGACACAACCTATGGGGTTTAAAGCTTCAGGAAGGGAAAATTTAGTGTGCAAATTGATGAAATCTCTTTACGGACTGAAGCAATCACCGCGACAGTGGTACAAGAGATTTGATAGCTTTATGATTGGCCGAGGGTACACGAGGAGCCCTTATGACCCGTGCGTTTATATGCACAAGCTACAGGATGGTGATCATATTTATTTGTTATTGTATGTTGATGATATGCTCATAGCTTCCAGGAACACTTCAACTATTGGGAAATTGAAAAAGGAGCTGTCATCTGAATTTGAGATGAAGGACCTGGGAGAGGCAAAGAAGATACTGGGTATGGAGATTGAGAGAGACAGGGTGAAGGGGAGATTGAAGCTTACACAGAGGAGTTACTTGCAGAAGATGCTGAAGAAATTCAGTTTTGAGGGCAATACCAAGGTGGTGAGTACTCCATTAGCTCCCCAGTTTAAGCTTTCAGCTTTGATGTCACCAGTTTCAGTGGAGGATAGGGACTACATGTCCAAAGTTCCGTATGCCAGTGTAGTGGGTAGCTTGGTGTGTACTAGGCCAGATTTATCACAGGTCGTGAGCATGGTATCTAGGTACATGCATAACCCCGGCAAGGGGCATTGGGAGGCCGTGAAGTGGATTCTACGGTATATTAAGGGTACCGTGGATGTTGGGTTGATATTTGCGAAGAATGAGGAGACATGGCAGGATTGTATTGGCTACGTGGATTCAGACTATACCGGAGATCTTGACAAGCGTCGGTCCACTACGGGTTATGTTTTTACATTGGCTAGTGCACCGGTGTGTTGGAGATGTACCCTTCAATCTACAATGGCGCTTTCTATTACGGAGGCGGAATATATGGCGGTGACTGAAGCAGTGAAGGAGGCTTTGTGGCTACATGGTTTGTTGGATGATTTGGGGATTGCACAGGAGAACATTCAGGTATATTGTGATAGTATGTCAGCTATCTATTTGGCGAAGAACCAAGTCTACCATGCACGCACGAAGCACATTGATGTCATATTTCACTTCGTACGTGACGTATTGGATGAGGGTGATGTCACGTTGGAGAAGGTCCACACTAAGGATAACCCTGCTGATATGTTGACCAAAGTTGTATCAAGTATGAAGTTTGGTCATTGTTTGAACTTGTTGAATATTCTTCATTGTTGAGGCCATTGGCGGCCATTTGGATGAACTACGTTCGGCTTGATTCCTTGGGCAAGAGGATACGTAGGCAGTCTTGCAGATGCAGCCGGTTGAGTTGATTGGGGGTGTTTTGGTATCGGCTCAGTTTTGGCAAACGTTCGCCGAGGTGGAGATTTGTAGAATTGGCAGCAGGTTGACAAATTCCGTGCCGATCGACCGCCGAAGCGGTTTGGGCCTGGGTTCTGTTTCCAGACCCGTTTTGTTTGTGAGTTGTATATAAACCCTAAACTCGTTTCTAGGGTTAAGAAAGGGTGATTTTGAGCTGCTGAAAGGGGATTTCTAGGGCTTCTATTGTTGGAGTCTATTGGAGAGATCAAGTGGTCTTGTAAGAGGGTTTTGGGTAAGATTTGTAACCATAATTTGTATTCCCCTTGATTTCCATTAGTAAAGCTTCCCCCTCCTTGCCCCATGGACGTAGGCACATTGCCGAACCATGTATATCTTGTGTTCTTGCTGAGATTGGTTGGCTTGTGTTATTTGTGGTCTACTATTATTCTTGTGTGTGCTTTTGAATTGTCGAATCGGCTTCCGCGGCGCACAACATCTTATACTATCGAAAACAACTTCCCAACCAAATCCAAACATCTTACTTCAAATCTCATCTTCTCATGTATGAAGCACATGGCTCTGTTTCCCTTCTAACTTCCACACAAACTCCTACAGCTTGTCATGGGTCCGCTCTCTATTCCTATAAGTATACGACCATACTGCAACTGTTCTCATCAAATACGCAGCTTCACAATCTAGAAATCAAACTATTTCTTCCCAAACTTTGATATCTACATTCAACAATGGTAAACTCCAAGAAGATCGTTGAGATGGCGAGAAAATGGAGAAAGGCAGCTGCCTTGGGCAAAAGGGTCTCCTCAACCCAGGCTGATGCTAAATTAGATTCCAATGCTTGCAGTACACCAGTTGCAGAAAAAGGTCACTTTATTGTATACACCTCAGATGAGAAGAGATTCATGGTTCCCTTGAGATTTTTGGAGAGCATTATTTTTGTAGAGCTCTTAAAGATGTCTGAAGATGAGCATGGGATACCAAGTGATGGTCCAATCATATTGCCTTGTGATTCAGTGTTCATGGAGTATATTCTATCTTCGCTCAGAAGACGAGGGTCTAAAGCTATGGACAGGGTGTTGTTAGACACTATATTAAGGCACCGTCATTCTCCTTGCTCTTCGCAAACTGTGGGGTTGAATCAACAAGTAGTTTGTAGCTTTTGAATGTTCAGATTCTTTGTAGTCAGTGATACTTGTGTAATTAAATATTAGATAATGTTGATTGACAAATTATTTACGGAAGTGATGATCCATGGTCAATTTTCTTAATAGTTTATAAAATTTGCTAGATGTTTAGTCTCTAAAAAACAGGCCTAATTCCCTGGATTAACCCCCAAAAATATGGTATAAGGAGATAAAAAGAAAACAATAGCTGTAAATATTCCAATGTAATTCTCAATTGATTAATGCTACAACACTTAATTCCACCTAACTATTTGGAGTTCAAAATTACAGCGCATGTTCTTTGCTCAGAACACGAGGGTCTACATCTATGGACAGGGTGTTGTCAGATAATGTACTCAAACATGGACGTTCCCCATGCTCTTCTCGCCTTATAGTATTAAATTAAAAAGGTGTTTTTAGCTTCTAAAAATTCTCATTCTTTGTAAGTAGTTGTGTATGTAGGATGGTGCGCTTATGATAATTGTAGAGTTGCGCTCTCTTATACAAAGAGTAAAATCTGCGGAAGCTTAAAATAAAACACTAGAGAGCCTTTATTAGAGTTATTTAAAGAGTTTGCAAAGTATAAATTGCTTGAAAGAATGACAAAAATCTCAGAAAATAAACATCACAAACACAAGCATGTATACTGTTTCCACCTCGCCGGTATACATCCAGTTCCCAAGGAAATCCCGCTTGAGATTTTCACTATGATTTTGAAACCTTACAAAATCACAAGCAAACCTGACCAATTTACAAGACCATACAAATTGCAACCCCAATTGACAAGACCATGCTAATTGCACACCGATCTCTAGACCAATAGATCAACCCTCTCAAACCTGAGAGAAACCTTTCTTGTAGCTAGAATACAAATCTAATCCTATAAACCTTGATGTGGATGTGAACGTGTAACAATGGCTTATGAATCTTTTTGACTCTCTGAATATTGCCTAAACAATCTCTAAGAATGATGGAAACAAAGACAATATCTAGAAACTCTCTTTTTCTGAAACTTAGAACTGAAAACTGGAAACTTGAGAGTTAATATGCACAATATATGAATCTTACAAATGCAAATGATTGTCCTTATTTTTTAACATTTTTACCTATTTATAGCCATTGAAAAGAAAAGTTTTCAAACCCTAAAAACAATCACAAACGGATATAAACAGAACTGAAAACTAGAAACTTGAGAGTTAATATGCACAATATATGAATCTTACAAATGCAAATGATTGTCCTTATTTTTTATCATTTTTACCTATTTATAGCCCTTGAAAAGAAAAGTTTTCAAACCCTAAAAACAATCACAAACGGATATAAACAGTCAAGTATTCAAATCTCAAACAGTTAGAAAAACTATCTATGTAGTCTGTTGGCCTTCTTGTTTTGATGATGTTTAACAAAAAATTTACGACTAATATTGTTTGTCTAGTGTTTGTATTTTGTATTCATTGTAGACAAACAAAATATTAGAGGATGGATGGAATCAAGCTTTCACGATTATATCCAATGGAGCTTGGCGGAATAGTGGAGTGAAGCAATGCAATTCAAGTTGAAGATCCAAGTTCAAGCTTCATCCGCAAGTTTACCAAGAAAAGCTTATTGAAGATCAAGATCATAGATTGGGTATATTTAGTTTAGGTTTATATTATGTGCGTTGGTACTTTAACCTTAATTATATACACGCACATTTTATTGGTTTCTTTATATAAATAGTGTATTCTAGTTTATAGACTTAACAATCATAATATACATCTTCTATAAGTCTATAAAATCAGTTTATGAAGTTTCAAAATATGGTGTAGTCAAAATGTCAAAACAAGTATGTTTTTATTTTCATGTTTTAGACAATTTTGTAAAATGAAGAGATTTCTCATTTGGGAGGTGTTTTTTGAAAACCAATTTTTGTAGCATGTTTATTATCATGTCTATAATCATTTCCCAAAATTTTATATTTTTTTAGAATTTATTTGATATTTTTTAACAATGTTCAAAGTTGAAAGTTTCTGTGTACATGTTTATGAGTCGACTCATGAACAGTATTGAGTCGACTCACAAACTGCTGCGTAGTTTACAAATTGTTTCCGATGAGTCGACTCACAACATCATGAGTTGACCCATCAGGTTGAGTCGACTCATGCATGTCATAAGTCGACTCACAAACTGTGCTGAAAAATAAGTTTTGTTTCTGATGAGTCGACTCATGATCTTATGAGTCGACCCATGGTTTATGAGTCGACTCATGATTTTTATGAGTTGACTCATAAGTTGGTTTTTAGCCTGTAACGACTACTTATGAGTCGACTCATGAACAATACTGAGTCGACTCATAACACTATAACGGCTATATTTTCAGACTGTACTGTTTTAGGGTTTTTGGTCTTTTTGCCTTTTTTTATCTTGGTTTGGGATTCCTATAAATACACCCACATATCCTCAGTTCCAAAAAGATCCAAGAAAAGTTTAAAACAAGTTTTTAAAGGGTGTTTAAGTGTGTTTAAGTTTGGTTTAAAGTTTGTTTGGTTTGTGAAGAAGCTTTCACAAGTGGAGGAGATCATCTACATTGTTTGAGCTCCATTTTAATCCATCTCTCCATCTTGTTTCTACATTGTTTGAGCTCCATTTTAATCCATCTCTCCATCTTGTTTTTCAGAGAAGAATTTCTAAACTCAATACCAGCTTTGTATTAATTATTTGTTGTTTATCATTTTTATCAAGTTAGGGTTTTACATTGAGTTTATAATTGATTTTCTCATTGCTTACACACACAATCATTGAGCTTATTGTATTTGCATACATTGTATAATTAGGTTGTGGAGAGTTGTATCAATTGAGAGTGAGCTTAATTGAGTTCTCGTCCATTGTAGAGAACAACCAAAGTTGTATTCATGCCTAATTGTGTATATCACCTTGTAATACACTTGTACATCGAGAGAAGTGTATGGTGAGAGACGGGGTCGTCCTAAGAGGAGTGGGGTAGGTAACAATACCTAGAGAGATGTTGTAATTCCTAATACTTGAGGGAGACATGGACTAGAGACCAACACTTGAGAGGGTGTAAAGTGGGATTACAAGAGTGTGAGAATGTAAAGTTTTCGGTGAACTAGAAAACTGAGTGTGAGGTGTAAACGTTATTCGGGTGAGCGTAAAAAATTCGGTTGTGATAGTGGAGATCTCCTCGAGGTGAGGAGCGGAGATGTAGGTTGTGGGGAATGAACTCCGTGAACATATCGTTTGTTTGTGATTGCATTGGCGCACTTATTTTTATGTTCATATCTTATATCGCCTTTGTATATTGCTTGTTGATTATATTTTCCACTATCTAGTTTAGATTATTTACCCTTGTGTTGTTTGTATATCCTCGCATATATCTCATAGTATATCTTATTGCTAGGATATTTTCCTTTGTTCATATTGCATATTCTTGCTCATAACATATTGTATATCTATCTTGCAAGAATAATTTATTAATAGATTTTAATTGGCATAAAATCAGATTAGATTAGCACAAGACCCTAATCACTTCCCCTCTAGGGTCTAACATAGTCGACTATAACTCTTAGTAGTCGACTACTCTGAGTTCAAACAGACTCTGTGTAGTCAAATTATTTATTAGTAGTCGACTACTTTGGTCATTAGTGGACTACACTGTAAACGACAGAAAATCTAGAGTTCTGATTCAAAGTTGATTAGTTGACTACAAAGCTAATTAGTCGACTAATATGAAATGACACAAAAACTAATATTTTGTCTATGTCTTGCGTAGTCGACTACTAATGCTATTAGTCGACTATACTGTAAGATGACAGAAACTGGAAATATTGATTATAACCTTAGTAGTCGACTACATATAGTCATTAGTCGACTACACTGTATTTTTACAAAAACTTAAAAATCTGTCAAGTCTTAAGTAGTCAATTACACTGTATATTAGTCGACTACACTATAATGTGACATAAACTATATATTTTGTCTAAGCCTTGAGTAGTCGACTACTAAGGTATTGATATGAGATATTTGATATGTTTTAAGACTCATTCAATATCTATAACCTCTAATAGTTAACTTAGGGGATTTTTATAGTTAACCATCTACTAAGTATGTGTTAGTGTGTTCTAAATACTATCTGTGTATGTGTGTGAGTGATCAAGGCTTGTAGAAATTTCTAAGCAAAGAAAATGTGAAAAATTACATTTTTGACATTTATGCATAACTTCTTCTTTGCTTCATATTGTCTTGAACTCATCTTATGTCTTGAGTATCTCTTTGAATATCATTGTTGATTTAGCTCTGATACTCCAAAACAAATGTTAGCACATAATACACACAACATGTAATATTTGTTATCATCAAAATAATCATATCTTGGGGTCAAGATACCCAACAATGTAGTTGGATTTTAGTAATATTTGTTATCATCAAAATAATCATATCTTGGGGTCAAGATACCCAACAATGTAGTTGGATTTTAGATAAACATTAACTGATTGACAAATCAATTAATAAGAGAGTGATGTTCCATGGTGAATTTTCTTAATATTTCATTGAAGTTTGCCAGATGTTTAGCATGAAACATCAGCCCTAATTCCCTTGATTAATCTCCAAACTTGATACTTGGAGATAAGAAACAATATTACTTTGTAGAACTTCCATTATCAGTCTCAATTGCTTAATGTTGTAGACATATGATGTCACATGATGTCACCTAAAGGGGACACCAATTTAGCTCTCTTTCATCTATTGGACGTTCACATTCCAGTAAAAAAGATAAGTTTCCATTCGAGTTCCATCATGCATATACTTACTTTCGGCATTTTGGCGAAAGGAAGAAGATCTCTGTATTTAGGAAGTATAGGTACTAACAATATACTTGATTTTATAAAGAGTTCTAGATAAAACAAAGAAAGCGGAAGCAAACATGATGTCGCAAAGAGAGAAGCCTCTGTATAACTTCATCCTCATCCGACCACTATAAGTAGAAGTGGCAAGGGTGATTT